TTTTTATTGAAGACCCATAATAACATAACCATTCATATGGTTCTTTTTCACTTTATACCCTTTTTATTGAAGACCCATAATAACATAACCATTCATATAACACAATGTTCTTCCGATGCAAGGGTACTAAAAATGATTGCGATATTACAAAGTTTTCTCGAATGCTTAAATTCGAGCACATACTAACTTCTATGTAGAGATTGGCATTCTTGTTTTGAAGTTAGCAAAAGTCTACTTTTAGCTTTTTACCTTAATAAGTTTATAGGTTTTAATTAGTTTAACACTTTATAATATGACACTTTTAACTCCTTACTTTAATAAATTTGTAAGTTTTAACTTCTCATCTTATATTATGATACTTTTAACTCCTCACCTATACAAATCAAAGAAAATAACTCCCACTTAACACCAAGTTATAACGTTTTATTAGTTTTATTAGTTGACTGTTAACTTTGTTAATTGATTGTTAACATTCGTTAATATTTCATTATAAAAAACATGAAATTTAAATTTAATTTTATTCGCTAGTTCCGTTAACAAAATACTAACAGAACATTAACAATCAACTAACAGAATTAATAATCAATTAACAGAATTAATAAAACGTTATAACTTTATGTTAAATGAAGTTTATTTTTTTCGATTCATAAAAGTGATGAGTTAAAAGTATCATAATATAAAGTAAGGACTTAAAACCTACAAACTTATTAAGGTAAAGGTAATGGACTCAAAGTAGGTTTTAGCCTTTGAAGTCTTGGTATACTGCAATCTACAAACATCCATAAGAATATAACTATTTATATAATAAGATGTTCTTATGGTACAAGGGTCCTCATATTATTGTGATATTACATGGTGTCCTCAAATGCTTACTTTGGACCACAAAACGTAATAGGTGCTACAAAGAGAAAGTGGCATCCCTGTGGAATCTACGTGATCCACAAACTCACCTAATGCATCCTCTCCAACTACAGTATTACCAAGCTGCATCATATATGAAAACCCAGGCTTGAGTAAGAGGGAGGAAGAGGATCCACTTCTATAGGGACCTAGTTTTCTTTGCCAGCTTTATTCTCATCGCCTTTCAAGAACTTTGAGACCAATATGCAGAAGATTTTGGATGCCGGGTGAGACCATTCTTGTAATCAACGAACACTATACCAAAGCGCTTGGTATAGCCTTGGGTCAACTCAAAGTTGTCCAATAGCGACCAAGCAAAGCAACCCCTGACATCTACTGCATCCCTGTCCATGCAAATGATAAACACAATTACCTATTTTGTTTTCCCACTAAGTGTTGCCTCTAATTGTTGATATAGTCATCCTTAATTTCATTTGCTGTTTTTATGTCTAATCTAACCAGTCATCATTGGCAAACCAAATGAGAAGCCATTAGCAATAGTAAATCATCCAGTAAAAACCAACATAGCACAGCTTACTTGGCATGAGATCAAGAATGATCAAATACGATTATGATGTGATTTAACATTGCTTTTAAAGAAAATATGAGTAAATAACACCCTCGTATCTAATAAGAAGATCAAGAGGGGGCTGGCTTACTTGATAGCCTGAGCAACTGCTGCAAGGTATCCCTTAAAATAGCGAACCCTCAATTTGTCATCCAGCAC